GCGATGATCAGTTGAAATAAGAGGCGGTGAGAGGGGGCGGTGATGATTCAGTTTTATTTAGACTACAGAATCAATTAAGAGAGATATCTTAATTGATGTGTGGATTTGCTTAGACGAAAATACCCCTCAAGCAATTAATTCATGTCACATCATATTAATAAGATCTTAATCTCAAAACTTAATCTAACGGTTAGAAACTTTGGTGGACAATGACTCTTATCAACTTAAGTTGACAAGAGTTTCTCTCTCTCTCTCTCTCTCTCTCTATATATATATATAAAAACATTATGGTATCAAAGCATTCTGATACTGCTCTATCAAATCTAATTCTTAAAACCATATTTTCTTAACCACAAGAAGCATTCTTTTTAGTCGTATCAATGGAAACATCAGATTCTACAACAACCACCAGCCTCAAACAAAGAACAATGATCCCCATCCTTCATCTCCTTACTATATCCACCATTTAGACAACCCGGGCGCTATGTTGGTTTCACAACCATCGACTGGAGATAATTATCTCACTTGGAGCTGCACTATCACTATGGCTTTTTACGCCAAGAACAAATTTGGCTTTATTGATAGAATCATCAAATAACCACTAGCAAATTCTTCTCCTCTCTCTCAATTATTTGAGCTGTTGCAATAGCATGGTGCTATCTTGTCTCCTCAATGAAGTCTCCAAAGAGATTACTAATAGCATCATCTTTATGCGTAAGGCCCACAAAGTTTGGAAAGATCCTCATGACTATTTTTTACAACAAAATGTGCCCCAAATATTTTGAAATCCAAAGGGCCGTAGTTAATCATGTGCAAAAGAATGATTCTAAGGCCTATCACACCATGTTAAAGGGCCTATGGGATGAGTTGACAATCTACAACAAACATCCCTCTTGTTCACGTGGTGCAGTACAATAAATCATCAACATCTGGCAACGTGATTGTCTTATGTAAATTTCTAATAGAGCTCAATGATTCTTACATTCATGTAAGAAGTGAGGTACTCCTTATGAATCCTTAACCATCAGTCACCAAAGCTTGTTCTTTGGTTTTACAATGGGAAAGACAAAGATCTATCTATCCACATGCTCAATTCTTCCTCTTATCATCAATCAGCCTTGACAGCAGTAAGCACCAAAAGATTTTCTTCTGGCTCTAACCAAGCAAATGGGACTATAGGAAATAAGCCTCACTATCATTGTGATTCTTATGATAGGAACTGTCACTCAATCTCACTATTTTCTAAAGCCATTATCGCCCCGATAAATGCCGACAGAAATGGGATTAGCCTATGCAACAAAAGGGTGCCAATCAGTTTAATTAATAGTCAATCCTATAGATTTTAGACCAATCAGTCTAATTAACAATTCCTTCAAAATTTTCACAAAACTTTTGGCTAACAGACTCTGTAAATTCATCCTTTCTCTTGTAGACAGCTCTCGGACAGCCTTCCAAAGTGGCAAATCATCTCTTGACTCCATTCTCCTAGCCCATGAAATGATCAACCATTGTTCCACTAGCAGGAAGGAGATCTGCGCAATCAAAGTGGACTTCTTCAACGCTTTCAATTGTGTAAATTGGAACTTTCTTATTTTCCTTCTAAAAGCTAGGGGATTCAGCCCCAAGTGGTGCTCCTGGATCCATCACATCCTATCTTCTTCCAAATAGGTAGTCCTAGTCAACGGTTCCCCAACTCCGTTCTTCAAATGTCATAGAGGTCTTAAGCAGGGAGACCCTCTTTCCCCCATGCTATTCTTGTTGGTTGTGGATGTCCTCAGCAAAATTCTTGGCAATAGTGCAGCGTCGGGTGACCTCTCCAATCTTAATCTTAAAGGTGAGTTAAATTCTATCAGATCTCTTCAATTTGTTGACAATACTCTTATTTTCAAAAAGGCCTCCTCGTCAGACATAGCCACTCTTAAAACCATTCTCCTGTTATTTGCCAACATCTCAGATCTTAAAGTCAATCATTCTAAAACCAACCTCTTCTATCTTGGCAAAACCCCCCTTAAAGGTTCCCAACTGGCTAATACCCTTAACTGCTCAGTTGGCTCCCTCCCCTTCCTATCTTGGTCTCCCCCTGAAGAAAGACTCTCTCTCTCTAGAAGAGAATGACAACCCTTATTGGATTCATTCTCTAAAAACCTTGCTCTATGAAAAAACAAATCTCTATCCATTGGAGGTCGCCTTACATTACTCAACTTAGCCATCTCCCCCCCATACTATATGTCTTTTTTCAAACTGTCAGTTTGGGTTACCAAGCCCATTGATAAAATTAGGAGGAATTTTCTTTGGAGTGGTAACCAGCATCCCTCTAGTTCCAAATGTCTCGTTAAGTAGGGTATAGTTTATAAAGCTAAAAGAGAAGGTGGATCAGGAGTCATTGATAACTCATCTTTCAACATAGCCCTCCTTTCTAAATGGACCTAGAAAATCCTAGATAGGACTTCATTAGTGAGCAAAGTCATTTTCTTCTTATACTCAAATGATAATTCCAACTCCATAGTTCAACCCCTCAAAGGCTCGACTTCTAAATTTATTCATGATTTACACTCTATTCACCATACTTTTTTTAGTAACATTAGATGGAAGATAGGTAATGGTAAATCATGTAGATTTTGGCAAGACAAATGGTCTTGTGCCAGCTCCCTTAGCAGTCTATTCCTAAGAGCTCACCAGTTAGTATTCTCTCACTCCTGCTCCACACACTCTCGATGTATCATTCTCCAAAACTCCTGGAATTAGCATCCTATCCTCAGAAGAGAGATAACTCAAGAGGACAGATCTGATATTACGACTCTTCTCTCCCACTTGGAGTCATTCTCACTTGTAGGAACTGCAATCCATAATAGCATTTGGTGGCCTCATCCCCTTTCACGAGTATTTTCAGTCAATTCTTTTTATTCTACCACCAACTTCGGAGGCATCACCTCCTCTCTTTACAATTTCATTTGAAAATCTCCTAACCCCCTTAAATTCAAGGTATTTTTTTGGATCCTCGGCAAACGGAACCTGCAAACTAGAGACAACCTAGCTAATAAAGGATGAACTAGTGACATTAGTTGTCCCTTTTACAATCAAAGCACCGAGACCCATGATCATCTGTTCATTAGTTATCCATTTTCATCATCAGTATGTGGTCTATTCTTCTACCTCAAGTGCCTATAGACCAGTGGCCTTAGGATCTGGACCTCTTCATCACAATCAAAAGCAACACCTTGTTCAGTTACAACGTTAAAGTTCTTTGGAAATTCATGCTCCCCTGTTTTTGTTTGTAGATATGGAATAGTCGTAACAACTCATTTTTAATGATATTCAAGTCAACAATCAGCAACTAGCTTCTAATGTAGCAAGATACTATAGAAAGAGATAATAGAGAACAAACCCTAATTGTTATTCATTAAGATAATAAGAAAGATATATATAGCCATACAAATTGGGTTATGGTTAACGGGTCACAGCCCATTAACTTAATAACCAATAGACTTAATTTAACACTCGTCCTCAAGCTGGAGCATAGATATCCACCATGCCCAGCTTGTCACATATAATAGAGAATACCTTTGACGAAGTAGCCTTGGTAAGAATATCAGCAAGTTGCTGTGAGGATGGTGTGAATATGAGAGACATCATCTTCTTCTCCCAAGCATCTCTGACAAAATAGTAGTCAACTTCAATATGTTTTGTTCTCTCATAAAACACAGGATTCTGTGTAATGTAAATGGCATACTGGTTGTCACAATGCATTAGTATGGGTCCAGGCTGAACAAAACCAAGTTCTGTCATAAACTTTCGTAGCCACACCATCTCACAAGTAGTGTGGGCCATAGCTGTATATTCGGCCTCTGTACTAGATCGTGATACTATATCTTATTTCTTGCTTCTCCAAGTCACAAGATTACCTCCAACAAAAGTACAGAATCCTGAGGTTGACTTTTGGTCTCTCATGTCTCCTACGTAGCTAGCATCAGAGAAAACAGAAATGTGAGTATGCACATGCTTCTTATATAGCAACCCCTT